TCTTCTTGAGGACCCACTGCTAAATCACCAACTGCTAGCAGCGCATCAGGGTCCCTAACCTTCAGCCTATCAAAACCCTTCATGTGGCGGCCATGATCCGAATCTTTCTCCTTAATTTTTCTCAACTTCCTCTGTATAATAGATGACACCAAATCAATACTTCCGTAAAGTGACTCAGCATCTTCCTCTGCCCGAATCACTCCATGCTTCTTTGTAAACAAAGTCACCTAGAATTACAAATGCCCATTAAAGATGTCAAACAAAACAACCCATAGATATCGAAGTGAGGTTTCTAATCTTATATAAGCATGCACACGCACCTCACATCTTCGAACTTTGGGTCCTTTCCCCAATTCACCACCGCGGATCGACAGTCTAACATCCACTTCCCTGACCAAGTGGCTATGCTTTTGAACTGCCCTACCTAACTTCTCTTCCACATAGCTCTTCACTGTTGGTGTTAACTGTATTTACACAACACTTGATTTAAAACAAGAGAAATCCCAAATACAAGATGGGATAGTTAAAAGATCATTTTCTGCGGGTAACACAAAATAATAACAAGATTAATCTGGCAGGTTTTCAACATAATACCAACAAAAAGAATATAAGTATGCTCTATGACAAAAAAAAAAACTAACTAACAATCTGAGTATAATGTGAGTGGTTGTTCCACCGGAAAACATTCATTCGACAAAAACAAAAGTAACAACAATTTAAACCTTTATCCAATAAATTTTGAGCCGGCTTAGGTAATCCTTTTCCGCCACTTTGACCGATTCATCAGAATACCAGCAAATACAAATTTAATAATTTACTTCACTTGACTGGTACCACAGATTGTGCCTTTTCTTTTTCCAATCATTATAGAAGTAATCAAGAAATTGGGATTGCACATCACTCATTCCTTATTCCATTCTTCTATTCTCTTTTATGACAGTGAGCAAATTTCCAGGTAAATAATCAAAAGATAATGTTTTAAGCTCAAAGTGTAAAAAGAGTGTACCTCTAAATTTTTGCCTTGAAGAATCAATTTGACCGAAGAGAGAGGACCATCCCATGACATTCGAACCCCCATTGATTTTCCAGTGCTATTTCTGACAATAACAATGTCATGGCACCTGAATCCTGAACTCAGAAAACTGGAATTTTGAGAAGATAACGCAAAAGGCTGATAATTAGAAGAACAAGCAGTCAATGACAATAAACCAGAAGATGAAGAAGAAGAAGAGCAACAAGAAAACTGGTGATGATGATTAAAATTAAAACTCTTATGTATATTTGGAGATGCAAACAGTGTAGCCATTTCTTAATTTTCTGCGCAAATCAATACTCGGTTTTTGGGTAAAATTCGGAAGAGAAGAAGAATGATTAAGAATATTCAAGTTCTTAAAGAACACGAGGTTAATCCAGATTCTGGATATGGTCCCCCGCCGCGCGCCGTGTGTGTGGGCCGCTTGTGGTGGCCCGGGCCCTCCGCCCAGCTCAATGGATAACTATGGGGTTTTGAGGACGCGATAGTGGTCTCTTTCACACAATCCTAAAACGGCTTATCCATATCCAGTGAGGAATTTATCCGTGCGTAAAATTTAATATTTTGGCTAACCTTAAAAAGTATTTTTCAACCCCTCATTCGGCCTAATTTACAGGGGTGCCCTCAACTCAAATTTTGATAGATTTCTTAATATTTATAAATTTTCATGGACTTTATGAAATTCAATAAAATTTAACAGATTTTATAAGATTTGAATGAATTTCTATTTTGTAGATTTCAATAAGTTTTCATAGATTTCATAGATTCTCATGATTTTGTAGACTTCTCTATTATAATTGTATTTTTACCTCCTCAATTGCCCAATAAAAATCGTTAGCCGATCTCCGTAAAAAATAATAATTTAAAATTAAAATTTCACTATACTATTTTAAGTGTATTTTTCTTTGTGAACCAAATTATGTCGGGACGAGCAATTTTCTGATGCATATTCTGTCGAAATATTCAAATTCTAATGGTTAATTATGTCAGGACAAGCAATTTTCTGATGCATATTNAATAATCAAAAGATAATGTTTTAAGCTCAAAGTGTAAAAAGAGTGTACCTCTAAATTTTTGCCTTGAAGAATCAATTTGACCGAAGAGAGAGGACCATCCCATGACATTCGAACCCCCATTGATTTTCCAGTGCTATTTCTGACAATAACAATGTCATGGCACCTGAATCCTGAACTCAGGAAACTGGAATTTTGAGAAGATAACGCAAAAGGCTGATAATTAGAAGAACAAGCAGTCAATGACAATAAACCAGAAGATGAAGAAGAAGAAGAGCAACAAGAAAACTGGTGATGATGATTAAAATTAAAACTCTTATGTATATTTGGAGATGCAAACAGTGTAGCCATTTCTTAATTTTCTGCGCAAATCAATACTCGGTTTTTGGGTAAAATTCGGAAGAGAAGAAGAATGATTAAGAATATTCAAGTTCTTAAAGAACACGGGGTTAATCCAGATTCTGGATATGGTCCCCCGCCGCGCGCCGTGTGTCTGGGCCGCTTGTGGTGGCCCGGGCCCTCCGCCCAGCTCAATGGATAACTATGGGGTTTTGAGGACGCGATAGTGGTCTCTTTCACACAATCCTAAAACGGCTTATCCATATCCAGTGAGGAATTTATCCGTGCGTAAAATTTAATATTTTGGCTAACCTTAAAAAGTATTTTTCAACCCCTCATTCGGCCTAATTTACAGGGGTGCCCTCAACTCAAATTTTGATAGATTTCTTAATATTTATAAATTTTCATGGACTTTATGAAATTCAATAAAATTTAACAGATTTTATAAGATTTGAATGAATTTCTATTTTGTAGATTTCAATAAGTTTTCATAGATTTCATAGATTCTCATGATTTTGTAGACTTCTCTATTATAATTGTATTTTTACCTCCTCAATTGCCCAATAAAAATCGTTAGCCGATCTCCGTAAAAAATAATAATTTAAAATTAAAATTTCACTATACTATTTTAAGTGTATTTTTCTTTGTGAACCAAATTATGTCGGGACGAGCAATTTTCTGATGCATATTCTGTCGAAATATGCAAATTCTAATGGTTAATTATGTCAGGACAAGCAATTTTCTGATGCATATTTTGTGTAGGAAAATTGTTTCAATATTGGATACCGGATTCGCAGTAGCAGATTCAATAACTTTGAATACAATGGATTCAAATATACACAACAGATTTAATACAGCAGCAGATTCGAAAATATGTTAAATTGCAGTAAAGTGTAACAGTTGATTTAAGCAGAACTACAAACACAAATTTGCATAAACGAGTGACAAACAAATAATCGCAGAAGTTAAATGCCAGGAAACTTTTAACCCGAGGCCTGTGTTCCACACAATTTCCTTAAAACAGATTCGCTCCCTCACCGTCTGTGCTTGAGGTTTAACAGAGTGTCCGTTTCCCAGGATACAACGGTGAAACAGTATAATCTGAGCATCACAGATTG